TTAGGGTACATTTTGCAGTAAGGAAAAGGAGATGACATCAGCCGAGTGTGAGGTGTGGTTACATACAAAATCATACATTAAAACTGTGAGCTCATGAAAACCTAAAAATTCCAACAGAATCACTTTACTTCTAAATATTGCGTACATTAAACGGAGTAAGATAACTGTATTCGAACAACTTAATAACAAAGGGGGTGGAAGAATCCAATTGACATGTGTGATATATGCTATTTATAAAACGCAAGTAATTTATGGATAAGCATGAATATGTACTCAATGTGTTTATCGATGTAATAATTGTGAATCTGCATTTTTGCAATTCATGAGAACTAAACAGAAATTCCATGGGCAGAAGCCATAAACTCATTCCATTAGTTGGAGTGGTAAGTATATTGTCTTTAAAATTAATTTTGCTATTACCTCTTTCAGGCTTCTTCTTCTTCTTCTTCCACTTTTAGTGATCATCGACATCATCCAAACACAAATGGACTCTAAACAACCCTTGAAGTGCTTTTGCAAATATGGGACTGTTTTCATCAAATTCTATAAACTTTGATTTTTAAGTAGCATTATTTTTACCCCCATCTTGGGTCTTACTTTGTAATATTGGCCATCATTCCTATTGTTTATAAGTAATAAGTCATAGACAAGACAATATATTGTCATGTCCTACTTAACTGCTGAGACCCACAATCATTTTATACTGATAGGGGCAAGGCACCTGACTCCACATTCCTTCCAGTCTCTGTGCAATGTGTACAGTTTATCTACACCAGAATGTATTATCTGACACTAGCTTTCCTCTTTGATATTTTCCATTTAAAGGCACAAGAAGATGTGAACACAACACTGACATCGTATCACCCTGTTAAGTTGTTATGGTGAATGTTTTCGCAAAGAGCTGCCTATTTAAACATCAAGCCCCAATGACTACTGGGATGGTAGTGTGCAGTCAGTTTAATGTTATCCTTGAAAACTGCTGCCTATTGTTGCTGGTATGAAAGTTAATGAGTGAGACTGAAACTGTGGGCTGAAAACTAATGTGTCCGTTGATGCTGTATGTTCAAAAACAAATAAACCTGCACAAAGCAGCTGACACACATCAGACCTGGAGCTTTTAGGGCCAATGGATTTTTGGGGCCAGTGGCACTCTGAGGCAGTTGCCTGCCCTGTCTACTTAGCTATCCAAACATGGGTGACCTTGCTGAACTGTCTGTTGAGTCTAGTGACATGAGGAGACCGATCAGACAACAAGGAAACAAACAAACCTCCAACATAAGCCAAAGTATATTAGGCTAGTATGGCTACATTGTTGTTTTTGGATGGTTTTCTCTGTTTGAGTTGAAATAGACTTAAATACATTTATTTTTAGTCTTGACCACACCCTCTCCTTTGACCTGCTTTGCCAGCCTCTAATTGGGTAATTCACTCAGATGATCATGGCATGATCAGGACTGGATTAATGAAAAAAACAAACAAATGTCATGTTTATCACATGGTTGGTCTGTATATCAATGAATGGGTGCCTTTTCCTCGGTAGTGGATAAAATCTAGTCCCACTATTAGCAGTTAGAGGCATTGACCATGTTGACCAAAAACATGACCAATGAATATGACACAACAAAAGATAAACAGACAGGTGTTAAAGCATTTCTTCATAATGTAAAATTTGGTAAATTCCGGCTGAAATTATATTATGTCCTTCCTTGTCTCTCTTAGTCCTTCAAACACAGTCCTGATGAGTCCCCTGTCCTCCGGAAGTTTACAGTAATCTCAACACCTATTCACACCTGAACCCCTGAAAGGCAGAAATCATCTTGGATGTGTTGAGCAATGAGCCTCCTGTCTGGCCCAGCACCTTGACTTTATTCAATAGCTGATGCAGAACTTGGTAGGCTGAAAGGCCTACAAAAAACTTCAAAATGTACGAAACAGCTTCCAAGTGCAGCAGACTACAAAGTAGACTGCTCTAGCATTGATGTATTTAGGATTGACATGGTACATTAAATGTTTTGTATTTTTGCCAACAATAATGTTAGACATTTAAATTGAATACCTGGGCTACAAGCAAAAGTAAAAACCTGTTTTTTTATACAGATTTGATGAAGTGCAAATAATTTGGGTTTTACTGTAATGAAGCAATTAGCTTAATTTCACTCAAATTAATTTCCCCATTTATATAATAACAATCTGTTGCTTCAGATTGTAAAATGAATTTGTCCAAGGTGACAGTGTGCACCTTTGCAATCAATTATTACTGACATTTTGGATGTATTTTGCCTCCAAAAAAGTGGTTTGGATAATCTAGACAATGTATTTATTTATTTAATACCTATCTGGTTGACAAATTTTGTCGTCAGCTAGCAATATCACCATGCTTCCAGATCTCAACAAATACTATGGTGAGTACAAAGTTCTTACAACTGATAGGAATAATGGCCCAAATAGTGAAAATAAGATCCAAATGTTGTCAACTACATGTTGTGAATATTTTCTAGAAATCTTCTCAATCCTCCCAATTTATTCAGTTTTTTCAGAAGACTCAGGGTTGATGCAAAGAATTTTGTCAGGATCTCGGCAAATTCCTTATTCTTTGTTTAGTCGCTGTCTCTATCTCTGTCTTCATTCTCATGCAGGGCTTCGTGGCTGTCCTCCTCTTCATCCTCCTCAGCCTCGTCTTCATCCTCTCCTCCATTCATCATCTCCATCTCAACCTCCTCTGCGCCCTCTTCAACTGCGTCATCCACCCCGCTGAAGGGCTCGGCATCCTGGGACACTTCCACCATCTCAGTGCCTTGTACCACTTCAACAGCACCCTCGCGGATTTTCTTGACATGGAAGGTGAAGGGTGGCACCTTGTACACAGCAGTCTTGGAGCGGGCGTAAACAACATGGTCTGGTGTGAAGGCTTTCTTCACCTTGTCATGGGATGTCTGCATCTTCTGCTTGCGCTCAGGGTTGACAGTCATGCGGTTTCCAAGCTTCCCCATCTTCTTCTCAATGTTGTGACGTGTTCTCTCCAGGTTCTCCTTGGTCTTCTGCTTTGTTTTCTCCAGGTTGTCCTTGGTTTTTTGTTTGGTCCTCTCCAGGTTCTCTCTTGTCCTCTGCTTTGTCTTCTCCAGGTTGTCCTTGGTTTTTTGTTTGGTCCTCTCCAGGTTCTCTTTGGTCTTTGCCTTTGTCTTGTCCATCTTCTCCTTTGAGAAGACGGTCTTCAGGGTTTGTACGCGCTGCAGGCTGCTGCGCTTGATCCGTTCAGCACGAGTTTCCTCAATTGTCTCCTCAATCTCCAGTCCCTCCTCATCTGAGGAGAGGTCTACATGGGGTTTGTCTGTCTCCTCTCTCTCTCTTTCCTCATCTCCAGGCTCTTCCGCAGCTTCCTTTAGCTCTATCAAGCTGCCTCCTCTACTTCCTGACACAGACTCAGAAACCCTCATGGATTTAGAGATGTTGAGTTTTGATGGAACCTTGACTTCATCCTGTGGAGAACAGAACACAAGGACTGTTATTGTTTAATGTGAATGGCAGAAGTTTCTCAAAGTTCAGCAATCAAGAAGAATTGTGCCTGGTCAAAATTAAAATTGAAACTATTTTGTAAGCCAGTAAAAGTAAACACATATAATAAAAGATTGTAACTGGGAAGTCATATTAGAGGGAACAACACATCAACTTTTTTGTGCTGTGCTGTATGTTCTAAAAAACAGGAGCTGTTGGAGGATACAGGACACCCACCCTACAACATCTAACCTGATACCAACTCATGAAAAAAACACAACTTCAACTTAAACAGTTGCAGTTATAGATAATGATAATAGGCTATATTCAATAACCAGCTACTAAGTTTATATGTCTGCTCTAGTGGTTCAGAGAATTCTCAGAGGAAACCCCTGTCTGCTGCTCCTTGAAAGAAGGTTTCTTTAGTGGTATGAACTCCTTTAAAACCAGCAATGACTAAAAATATGCTAGAACACTCTTTAGAGTTCAGGGAATATACAGTCTAAAACATTAAACCAATCATTGGAATGTTAATATAAACAATTGATCAGAGCAGTTTAAAGGTTAAAACTTTGTGATATGGCAATAAGCATGGAATGTCTTTACTATCATAAAATGCTGCTTTCATAAAATGTTACTTTCAGTATTTTAATCATGGGTATAGACTAATTGAAGTGATGAGTATGACTAAACATACAATGCTTGCTACACAATACATCATATTTGTTTTGTATCATCCAATACATCATCTAGTAAATGGTCTGTATATGTATATATAGCACTTACAGTGCTGACCACTCTAAGCACTTTACAGTACAGTTTTTTGCCATTCACCCATTTTCAGAAGGACACTTCAGCATGCACAACGGGGAAGACAAGGATCGAGCCACCAGGATGACCAGCTGTCTCCCCTGAGCCACAGTGTGTACACAGTGCCCCCTGTTGTCTGTCATCGTCACACAGGGTAAGATCCCACATTTCTCGCAACTTGGTTGGTTCATGTGTGAAAATGTAATTTTGGGTTATAGAGACTCCAGCCAAAATTCAAGTCTCAAGTTTAGCATTAGCTGGCTCACTGCTTGGCCCACCATGAAACCAGTGCCAGATGACCTTGGTAAATAAGACTCTGTAAAGGTGTCAAAATAAATACTGCAACATGCTATTTTTTTATTACTGTTGTTGCTTATTTTATATATAAGCCCTCTAAAATACATATAATTTCAGGCTAGTTTCCATATATAGGTGGCCTAAAGTAGTATATACCAAACACATGTAAACATTGAAAATAACCTCAGTGCTGCCTATAATCATACAAACATCATGCCTGATTATACAGTTAACTGCTCGGCTTCTTTGGCTTGGTTATGACCATGGACACAAAGTTATTTATATTTGGATGTTAAAAGCTGATGATATAAACTGGGTGATAACCCATCTTTGATAAATCACTTTTAATTGTCTGCATGAGTTCACCCAAGCTAATTTTAAATGCACTCATTTTGTGACTCCTGAACAAGTCCAAGATGGATCCCTTCTATGTAGGTTACACTATAAGCTTTGAATTTCCCTTTTGCAAAACCTGCAGGACAGAATGTAGAGTTCCCACCAAAGCTTTGCAAGCACTTTACATGAGGAACCATTTTGTTTTTAGTGACCCCCCTCAGGATAAAGAAACCCTACTGTCTCAGACTTTTAGACTCTATTGTAAATGTCCTGCTCAGAGAAGCTTTCACACCACCAGTACAGACGTGTTCTATAACCTGACTCCGCCTGACCCAACCTCAACCTGATAAAGCATTCCTGAACAGCATCACTGCATATTCTCGCACTTCTTCCATCATCTATTCCTCCATTCCCATGGCCTTTCCATATCCCACCCACCTTTGTGTCGCCTTTCCCTCATTAACATTCCAGATGAGGAAGTCTTTCCACTTTTTTCTCGTGTCCCCTTAACCTCATGAATACAATACTCTTCCTCTTTCCATCACGGCAAATCCTCATCCAATTTGGCTCCTGAATGTCTGCATGAGGGCCAAAACTTGTAAGTATTGTCTTTTCCTCTCCCTTTACATGCCTTTATGGTCAAAACAGGAACACAGCAGAGCTAGAACAAAGGACCACAGGGTGGAAGGGGGGAGCAGCTGTAAGGTGTGGAAAAGGGAGATACTTTTCTGCTGACGTATGCACTGAGCAATAGCACAAGTGGGATGAGGCTTCTGAGTCTTGGAAAACCATCTGCTCAGCAGGAAGATGATAGCGTCAAAGCGTGGACTAGAAGGTGGAGGTACGAGAGTAAATGGTGGGTGGGCCTCGTGCCTATTGTGTTCTGTTGCTATTCCGTGTGATGACAGTTTTATAAAGGTATTGTACTGCAGTATCTTGGGTAAACTTGACCTTGGATGAGGGATCTCGGCCTGAGCAGCTGTGTTGACAGGGGGGAGGGGTTGGAAATCTTGCTCAAATTCATTAGAACTTGTTTTGATTTCGAAGACAATGCAGTGGGTATGGCAAATCGCTTAAGCAACATGTGGCCCAAATGTCTGACAAGGCCCCACAGTTCGTCACAAGAGCTCTCATCAAAGGGGGACAGCACAGTTGAATGTTTGCATGCTGATCTTTCTTATGGAACTGCAGAGAATGGCATTATATTAATAGTTCAATAATTATTGCAATGTATTGATTTATTTAATATGCAAAATTAGTAGTGAGTGAGGGGCCTCACGTCACAGCTGGATTTGGACCCTCCCATCCTAACTCTCCTCTTTCCACTCATTGGGAGAGGAATTTCTTTGGGACAGATGTTGTGAATAAAACAGTGAATAAAACCTAATACATAACAAATGAGCCATAGCCATACTATAGACTAATTATTATTTTTCATTGGATATATTAATGAATGCACCGTGCACTGCAGAAAAAGGGTAATATGGTCGAAGCCCATTAGCTTTTGAAATGAGGAGAAGCCAGTGTATGCCTAGGAAAACTCCAGATGTGAAGTGTTTACATGAAATGGATTCAAAAGGAGGGAATTATGTGCTGTGTGCATGTGTGTGCATGTGTGTTCATGTGTGTGTGTGTGTGTGTGTGTACAAAGAACATGGAAAGAGTTTTGGGGGAAGTTCAGGCATTCACCTTGGTGTGCTGACTTCCTGACCCTCCTAATTTAATGGGACATTGTTCTCCATGAGGCTGCTGGGCCAAAGACAGGAAGGTACACTCACAGGCATGGAAAATAGATGAATGTGGTATGTAATGGTTCTGTGAGCAAGATTGAATTTTTGTGCATGTCTCTGTGTGTTTGGTTTTCTGAGCAAGATTGCATTTTGCCTTGAAGTCTTGCAAAAGATGCACAAGGAAATCATTTCCATGTCTGGTTTGCGCCTAAATAACAAAATGACTGTCAGGAGGGAAGTCAATTGCAAAACAGACTAAACCACAATGTGTGTGTGTGTGTGCATGAGAGAGAGAGAAGGAGGGAGGGTAGTGTGTGTTAGTGTGTCCTGAAGCAATGGGGATAGTCGTCTCACAATTTATTTCATCACAATATGGTGTTTCACAATTTGCTCTTTATCTCTTATGCCTTCCTGTAGTGATTATAAGAGTGTGTGTGTGTGCGTGTGTGTGCGTGTGTGTGCGTGTGTGTGTGTGCTCGCAGTCGATTTCTGTAACCACTGCTGCATTCCATTCTTCCACTACCTAGACATGGACCCACACAGCTACATCACTTCATTGTTCACATCAACTTTCCAACTTTGTTGTCGCGCAACTTTCGTAGTTCCTCTTTTTCCATCTGACAATGGTGGACATGTTGCGGCAGTGACTCATGGCTGATGGAAAACTCATTCATCTGAGAGGCATTTTCAGTGCCTCTACCCTGGCTCTGTCCTTCAAACAACTCACTTTGTGTGTGTGCATGAACACTCACGCTCTCATACTCACCTCTAAGCTCTCTGGCACAGTACATTACACTGTTCCATTACTGTTGTATAGTATACAGCAGACATTATCCTCTGTAACATGACCTTACCTGACTGGAATAAGTTCAGATCACACTATGTGCAGCATTATGTACATGAGATCTAGGAACTTAACATTGCAGCCAATGTGTATAATACATGCCTAAACATTGCAGCTCATGGTAACACCAAGCTAGTGTTCCAGTCGTTTACATGGAATATGAATTACACTGATATTGATCTCCTTGTGCTTATTATTTGGACATCCAGGTTTCTAGTCTCTGTTCTTGTTATTCACTGCATTGGTTTGGTCCTTGCTGTATTTATAGTTTACCTCTCTGGTTGCTTGCATCATTACTATGCACACATGTTAAAGGTCCAATGTGAAGTACCTATGACTATCTATTAGCATGATTTTTTCATTACTACATAATCACTTGAAACTAAGAGCTGTTGGTTTTTTTCCACCTTAGAATGAATCTTGATCATCTCCATCAGGGGCAGGTCCTTTTGCACAGATTCCCGAGATGTTGAGCCAGCACATTTATGCAGTAGCCCAGAACAGACTAATCAAACTCTGAGAGGACCTCTCTGCATTTGTATGTAACCTGAAGGCCACTGTAGATTCTTCTACCCACTTGGAAGGGGAGGGTGAGGGCATATTCAGGTAATGCAGTTTTCAACTTCACCAGTGGATGCCACTAAATCCTCCAAAGTTTTCCTTCAACAACCATAATGTGACCACTTCACACTCTACTGTCTGCAACCATGGTTTCTCATAATGAATGTAAGCACAGAGCACCTAAAGCTCAGAGAAGAGTACTAGTCCCTCGACAGTGTTGACTGGTCCAGAGAAATGCAAACACTATATACTTTGAGCAATCCTACAGACAGTATGTTCAAACTATGGTCTGTTCTGCAGCCACATTCATCACAGCACAGCTCCATTGAAAGTGGTTGTAGCTGCAGCATATGAAATAATACAGATTTCTTTGGCAACAGTCAGGGGAAGTCATGCAGTGCAATTT